ATAGCAACATGTGAAAATGGACTTTAACTTCGATGCAACACTGACAGATAACGCAGAGGAAAACTAGGTTCTGCTGTACTCCTGGTACCTATAACATAGGACCTCATCCAATCTAGCAGATTTTAGGGCCTTGGGGGATTTCTTCTACTAGTTCCATAATGTATTGTTTTAAAGTTTCAAAAATGCCCGTCAGAAAATTCAGAAGAGCAGTGGGCAAGCATACGTAATCTTTCAATATAGTCTCATCGTGCCAGTGCATTTATATGGGAACGGGTACAAGTCAAACATGCGGTCAATAACATTCGTCGGCAGAGATCCATAGAGAAGCCTTGTGATGGTAACTAATAATAATCACCTACTGGCAAATTTTCAGTAGCTCGAATTTCGGCCTATCCAACCACATCCATCATTTTGTAACTTCTGCAATCGCTGACCTACGGTTTTATGGTAGCTTGGCGGGACCTTATAAATCACCCGAAAACCTTTGTTTGGGTACACCCGATATCCGGAATGATCAATGTACTGGTTCGATGAGAATTTATGAAAGTCTGCTCGTCAATTGCTCTACTGTATTTCTATAATATTTGTTCGAGCGATTTCAATTCCTTGAACAAGAATAAATGACTAAAGGATTCAATAAAAAAAATGAAATGCCCACATTAACCGACCGTGAATGCACTTCGAAAACTACGGAGAAAGAGGAGCCTACCTGCACAACTTTGACGTTCACAAAAGAGGGCAGGTTACCACCGATCAGCTTTGCGAGATCCAAATTAGTAAAACTTCCTCCCTGTGCCTCTGTTAAACTGCCATCATTTCGCGTGTAGAAGCACACAAGCTGTGCTTTGCGTTGGCTGCTCTCAATCAGTAGTGTGATGGTGGCCCGCAGAGGAGCGAATTGTTGATTTTGGGAGCCAGGATTACTTATTACATCATCAATTACGCCTGTCAGAAAGTTGTCTATAGCGGTGAGGTTGCATTTGACCCCATTCACCTTCACCGCGTCATCGCAACGTCCGCACACGTACAGTTGACCGTTGCTAGGCGAAACGAAACCAAGGTCACCAGTTGGGAAAAGCATTCGGAAGCCCGATCCTGAGGAGAAGGTGTTGGGCAATGTCCAGGCACTCTCGGGCTTTTCTGCTGGATCGACAATATGCCTGAATGATTTATTCAGGGAAACAGCTGTTAGCAGTATGCTGACGTCACATTGTGTGGTCCGATTTGAAAATACGTATTAAGTGTGAGATGACACATTGAATATATGACTAATTTTACCGACAGAGAAGCAAAAATAATGTCTTCTTCTAATGATTGAGTATCAGATCCATGAAGGTAAGCACTGAGTAAGGGGCAAGTGTCCTCCAGGATGACAGAAACAACCGAGGCTAGCCAAATAGGAGAGTCTAAACGTACGAAGTCAGTTGGATTTTAAAAAAAACGTAAAATTTGCTATCCTCCCAGAGGGGCACATAAAAACGCCAGGGGACAGTCTGTTTACGCTAGGACAGAAATGTTTGAACTCAAAAAGGCTTCTAGCCATAAACGATGCTACTGAATCATTAGGAGGTCTCACGCGTAGTCAACTGGTTCTGAGGGAAAGCCGAAAGTTGCTGGAAAACTGAACTTCACCGGGATATGAAGCCTTTACGCACATCTTAATACCTGACAGTGACCTCTCATTGGCTGAACGATTCTGGTAACAGAGTTTAATCATGGTATTTCTTTGTGTTGCAGATGACTAAGTATCATGTGAAGTCATTTAATAGTATGAATATGCGGAGGTGAGGAAAGATCATTATCCTTAGCAGTGCATTCTGGATAAGAAATTAGAACATACTATTTATTCGGATTGTTAATTTAGAGGAAAACATGTCACATATGAGAACAATTTAGACCAGAGTTAATGACTTAAAACTCGAATAGCATAGCAGTAACAGGTTTATTAAAAACCCATGGGGCAGGGATCCTCTCGCACACTTTAATAAAAGATGCGGATCCCTCATAAGCACAGAGATTTTTATTATGGTTGACTTCAATATTGCTAATACAGTTGTATCCTATGAACCCATAGATCTGTGCATACGATTATAGTCTTCGAAGTCATATTCTGGATCAAGAAGGCCGTCCTGTAATTCTTTCCGATTTATCGAATGCAGGAGAAATTTCCTTACACAGGTTATGCTTAGAATTGCTGTATAGATAGTTTTCACCATTCCGCATTCAGCCCCCTTATTACCACTTTGAGGGTTCTCCCACCCGTCTTACTCAGTTGTCATCAGATTGCGCAATTATTTTTACAAAAGAAGAAACAATTTACGTTGGCTGTCGCATAAAAAGCGGTGGATTTCAATGCAGCAGAATAAACTACAACCAGCCACATAATGTTTAAAATAGCAGGTAGCCCCATGCTTACTTCACCGAGTTGGCATAGATTTTGCCATCACTG